AACAGGTATTCGTATATCTATGATAATATAAGGTATTATGAATTATGATAACTACACTAATTGATTAACCAGGCTTTTTGCAAAATGCGACTTAATTGAAAAATAAAATATTTGTTTCAAAATAGAATATATGACAATATTTATATATAATATATCCTAGACTGACAAATCATCCCCGTTCAGAATCTTTTTCGTATACAATGATACCTATCATTGCATTCAAATTTAATCTCATCCATTACAGTAACCTACTGTACAGCAGAGCGACATCCACGACTTACCCGCTTTTTTTTAACCTTGAAGTACCTGAAAAGTATACTTTAACTAAAGATGGAAGGCAATTTATGCAGTACTATAGCGGGCCATCAGATGATCGAATTTTGACTATTGTAAGGGAATAATAAATTATAGCAAAAAATACAACAGCATGGTGTTCACTGTTCATAGCACTTTCGTGTGAAAATAAATGTCTAATACCAAACGAAATAATAAATTGTCAACTTGGAGACATACCAAATTTTATACACATTAAAGAGAAGCCATTTTTTCTGAGAGGCACAATTGGGTATTGTCCACCCCTATCAAATACAAGAGCAATTGGACATTATTTGGGTTTTGCTAAACGAAGCAATATATTTTGGGAAGTAAGTTAATATTATTAATACTTTGAAATTTAGCTTACAAAAAACTTGAGTTTTAACAATTACAAATAAATAACAATAATAAGTACTACAAACAATATTTCAAATCATTAAAGAAAAAAACCATCACAACCCATTCTTCATAATTTAGTAAACCAACCACGGTCCTCAATCACTAATCAAAATTCTTATTCAGTCCTACACAAGAACTTCACAGGTCACACATCTGTTTTAGTATTTTTATTATACTACGCTTATCATTATTCCTTTGTTCGTTTTACTATCCACTGCTTACTATTCTACAATTCAGATTTAAAATATTAAACAAAAATGATGAATAAATATGATAAATTAATTTAATTTATCAATATCGAATTACAAAAATGTAAAATGTATTGTTTTAGGTTCATGATGACTTGAATAAAAAAATCAAACCAGTACGATCATCGAAACAGGTCACGGCTGCATTACTACTCTATACCGAATAAATGTAAATATTATATAAGTATTTAAAAATTAAAAGGACAAAATTTTGATAGAAGGATTATAATGATTTTATTTTTTTTATACATTTATTTTAAACTCTGGTTTAGATAGAGTACTGATATTTGTTTTGTAATAATATAATATAAGTACATGCTTCAGGCGCTTCAGCAAAGTTGAAAAACAGGGACGTTTTTATAATCGTGGATAATCGATGTTAAGATAGAGCACTAATTTTTAATTTTGTATATTCTTTGAGCACTAATTGAGCACTAAAAATTAGTAGTATAGCGGGAATTAGTGCTTTTCATGATCCCGCTAACTTCACGCACCTTAATACGAAACATGAATAAATATACATGGTCAAAATAATATATAAATTTGTAGGCGAATTAAAAGCATAGGAGAAAAAATATTAAAAACTGGAAATATTCTACTGAGAACTAACCATAAATTGACTTATGCCCTTTTTTATAAAACATCTAACTTAAGCAAAATCAGTCGAAATCCTGAATACATGATTTCTTATTAATGGAAACAATATTTACCATAAAGAGTCACTGTAACTTCAGTAGTTCCTAATACATTTGATGCTTTACAGACATAATCCCCATATTGACGGTTTTCAATTGAAATAATTCGTATAGTAGTGTCTGTTATTTCATCTGTAGTAGCGAAATGTGATATTCTAAAGGGAAGGAAAAATCACTATACATTTTATTCAAACATTATTAATGTTTTAGAGCGCTCAACACTTGAGTATACTTGTAATGTTGATTATTAGATAGTTGTATTCCATTATTTAACCAAATGATAGCTGGTGGAGGATATGCTTCAACATGGCACTCGAGATCCATGTCATACTGTAAAGCTTGTCCCAAATGACGTTTGGGAATTGTTATAACTGGAGCAAATTCAACCTCTATGGCAATATGGCGCCTGGCACCTCTGCCAACACCATTTTCAGCTACACAGAAATATGTTCCACGATCTTCTTTAGTAATAGAAGGAATTTTCAAAATGTTACCTCTAGAAGATTAAATTGATGTAGGTAAATGTTTAATTTTTATATTATCTATTTTTTTATTATTATAGTTGGTACCTAAATATTGATATATTCTTAGATAAAATTGCATTGTTTGCTCGTCTCCAGGAAACTTTTGGGCTAGGGTATCCACCAGCATAACATTCTAGTGTTACTGATTGACCTTCATTTACAACCAATGATCTGGTTGAGTTGTCAGAAATGAATGGACGTCTACGTACTATTAACTCGGTTTCAGCTGATAATTTGTTATTTGTTCCAAGATTCACATCACAGCGATAGAAACCGGCATCAGTCTCTTGGATATTACTAATCTGAAGTTAAAAATTTATGTTGGTAAAATTATTTTATCACGAAGTAATAGAACTGATTTGGGAAAATGAGAGACTCCCGGAAGATTGGAGCACTTCGTTAATATGTCCAATACATAAGAAGAATGACCTTCAAGACTGTAAAAATTATAGAGGTATAGCTCTAATAAATGTAGCCTATAAGATTCTGGCGTATTGTATTCTCGATAGGATAAAACCTCTATCGGAAGGTGTTCTGGGAGAATACCAGGGGGGTTTTAGACCTAACAGATCTACAACAGATCAGATTTTCTGTATTCGCCAAATTGCATAAAAGTCATGGGAATATGATAATGAATTATACATTCTATTTATAGATTTTGAGAAAGCATATGACTCCATCCATAGATCTACTCCAATCAACATATTAAAAGAATTTAACTTCCCAATAAAACTAGTAAACTTGATAAAGGCTAGTCTTGAAAACACTTTGATAAAAATTAAAATTGCGAATGCAGTATCGGAGACAGTTAGAGTATCCACGGGCTTAAGACAAGGAGACGCTCTTTCTCCTGTCCTCTTTAATCTAGTGCTTAAAAAAATTGTCAGAGAACTAAACACTATTCACGGGGTTGCGATGGGTAACACGACAATAGGTTTACTAGCATATGCCGATGACTTAGCCCTTTTGGGAAATAATTTAGATACTGTAAAACAGAATTGTAGAAAATTAATAAATGTAGCAGGCAAATGTGGTCTAAAGATAAATGATAAAAAAACGGAGTATGTCATAATTGGAAGAAGAAGTAGAGAATACCGACAAGGAGAGTTTATAGAAATAGATCACCATAAGTTTAAGAGAGCGTCACATTTTAAATACCTAGGATCTATAATAACACAGGATAGTGACCTTAAGATGGAGATGGACACTAGGATTCTAATGGGAAATAGGTGCTATTTTGGCCTAAGRAGTATGTTTAGCTCAAAAATCTTGTCGACAAAATTAAAAATACAATTATACATGACCCTGATAAGACCAGTAGTGTTATTTGGTTCTGAGACGTGGACACTGAGAAAGGTAGAAGAAACAAGACTTGAGGTGTTTGAACGAAATTTCTAAGAAGAATCTATGGACCATGTATCGATTCTGACACTGGAGAATGGAGGATACGCCACAATGATGAAACTGAAGAACTTATTTAAAAAACCAGATATTATATCCGAAATTAATAGAAGAAGATTAATGTGGGCTGGGCAATGGGCATGCCTGGAGGAAAGAGGGCTCTTTCATTAAGGCGGTTATTAAAGAAAATCCGTCTGGGAAAAGACCGTTAGGAAGACCGCGCTTACGGTGGGAGGATCGTATCAAAAAGGAAGTTAAAGCAGTGGAACCAAATACACAGTGGAGAGAAGCTGCAGAGGATAGGGAAAGATGGCGACAAATTTGTATGCAGGGATGGTCTTGAGGGCCGTAACCCACAAGAACAAGAACAAGAAGAAGAAAATTATTTTATTATCAATTATCATACTATGTATAAAATGTAGATACCATTTTATCAATTATCATACTATGTATAAAATGTAGATACCTGTAATGAGTAACTATTGCTATCCATGTCATATCTCAATGATAATCTTGAATCTTTGATGATGAGTGTACTTCCAGATGAAAATGTAACAGGATCAGTAGATCTTTCTTTGTCAACCTTAATCCACAAAATATTGAAATCAGAAGCATATAAAACTGTACATTTCAATTCAGTTGTATCACCAATAGAATAAATGTAAATATTATATAAGTATTTAAAAATTAAAAGGACAAAATTTTGATAGAAGGATTATAATGATTTTATTTTTTTTATACATTTATTTTAAACTCTGGTTTAGATAGAGTACTGATATTTGTTTTGTAATAATATAATATATTATATTTTTCATTTATATAATCTCTACATACATCATTTTAATTCATTTGTGAGTGTTATATTATTATTTTTTTTTTTTAATGAATTCAAATGAAATGTGTCATAAGTTTTCTGAAGCATTATCTGATTTATTGAAAAATGAAAAATATAAACAAATAATAAATCATTTTTGTAATATAATAATATGTGTTATAATTACAAGAAGTGAAATTGGATAAGGACAAATATGAGAAGAAAATGGAGAATAAAAGTGCAAAGCCTTTATACTTTTATAAGGTATCAAGGCTTTAGGGATACCTGCCACAACTCTAGATTTATAGGGCTGGCGAAATTGCATCATTAAGTTGGATGGATAGTCCTGTTAGTGGCAGGGGCGCCATTTCAGTTTTAAAATAGGGCTGCCAAATTTTTTAACAGGCCTCATTTTTCTAACAACAGGCCACAGTTATAACAATGAAAATTTAAATGTAGCCATGTTGGAGTTATTTCTAACCTCACTATTAGGGAAAAATAAATCTGCAAATAGAAAAAGGAACTGCAAAATAAAAATAGAACCCTATGCTTCCATAAAACTTGTACTTCTTTTAGATTACAGTAGGTAGTTATTAGAAAGCTACTTTTTTTGTAATTTATATGCTGTTATATAATCTAGATTACACTRTCATCTATAAGCCCAAATCAAACATTTAATAATAGTATCTTAACTTAAAATGACTAGTACCATAAATTAAAATTGAATCTTTAATYATACAAATAAAGCAGTTACCAACAAAACGTCGTTGCCAAAACAATACCACGTATCTCCAAAAAAATCAAAAATGAGTTATATACATCAAATTTTTCAGAAAAAAAACTCATGTTTTAGTGTAAATATCACGTATAATACACAAAATCCAAAGAGAATATAAACGTTGAAACATTATCACGTATATCCATTATCAATATTACTGTCAAAATATATCGTATCTCCAGGTTATCATTTTATACAACAACTGTTACTACAGTAGGTACTATTTTATAATTTATAATAATGAAATAATGATTAATAATTATTTGTACGTTCAACGTCATTTAATAAATCATTTCTTATAACTTTAWACTCAATAATATGAACGAATTCGAAATTGATACACTGTTAAAAGAATTTGATGAAGTCGTTGATGATGGTAAATTATTTAAATTTTTTGAATAGTCACATTATAATAATTGTAAATAAATAT